CGGGCTAGCGAGAGATTCAGAGGAAGGGGACGTGAAGTGACGAACAGAAAGACGAGGAGCAGGAGGATGACGATGAAGAGCAGAACACAAAATCACGGCATGCGCCGCTGCCCCGAGAGGAGCGTATTACGCAGAATGTGTGCGTACGCGAACCGATTGGGTTGGCCGGTAGCCTCCATTTTGTACGTGGCCATGGCCCCCACCCCCCAGTCTCCCCCCAGCGTTTCCAGGATGCCCGTCCCCCATTGTTCCGAACAGTTTTATATACATATATATATATATACATATATATATATATAGATGTGCGTGTATATATGGATATATATGTGTATATATATATATATTCATATACGACCACCCTGCGGGTGATAAGGAGGTTGTGGGGGGGGGGGGGAGGGGGGGGGCTCATGACGACAACTGTGGTGAATGTGGTGCTGATGGCCGATGATGGTGTGGATGACGTGGCGGATTTTGTTTTGTTTTTTCGCTTGGGCGTTTTGTGTCATTCGGTTTGCCGCTGCGCGACGCGGCACTCACCCCACGACGGTCCAGTCGACGATGCGTGCAGTGGCAGGGCCTGGTGCGTGCGTCTGGACCTCTCCTATCCTGCCTTGGGAATCATGCTGGCAGTACCTGGCGTTGACGAGCACCCTCCGCCCAGCGTCGATGAGCTCCGCCTTTTTCATGTCATCCACGCGGCCCCCCATCTCGTGGATAGCCCGTCCGCAGAAATGCGCGAGGAGGGCGCCCTGGGGAGGTAGCGCGAACGCAGCGGGCGCCTTGAGCCGGAGGAGGAGGACAGTGACGGGCAGGAGAAGGAGGATGAGGAGGCGGAGGAGGAGGAGAAGGAAGAGGAGGAAGAGGAGGAGGACGAGGCGGATGAAAATGAAGACGGTCATGATGATGATGGTGATGGTGGTGGTGACGATGAGGAGATCTTCATAAAATCAAATTCACACATGCAGGGGAACTGGAAGGACGGCATGGCCAATAAATGACGGCATTTATCTGTCCTCTGACGACTAAGCGGCCCAAGAACAGCACCCCCTGGCCCATGATACGACATGAAAGTGGCCGCCATCCTCAGAGGAGGGAGGAGAGGAGGAGGGAGGCGACGAATGGCAATCGAGCCTCCGTCCTAGCAAAAAGGCGACGAGCTGACCGACTTGTGTCGCATGGCTTGAGCCCTTGAGCCGAACTAAAGATCTAAAGAATTAGGTTAGAGTTAAAAATTAAGGGTGCGAGGAGGAGAAGCAAGATAAGGTGTCCCATGATGAGCAACCATGATGGTGTCCCATGATGAGCAGCCATGATGAGCAACCATGATGAGCAACCTGCGGGACAACGATGAGCAACCGTGATGACCAACCATGATGGGCAGCCATCATGGGCAACCGGCGGGACAATGATGATTTCACGTTCGATCTCACTATCGATCTCACTATCGATCTCACTATCGATCCAACATCCGGTCTCACAATCGATGTCACTATCGATCTCGCCATCGATGTCACTATCGATCCCACTATCAGACTATCGATCTCACCATATATCTCACTATCGATCTCACTAACCATCTCACTTTCGGTCTCACTATCGATCACAATCGATGTCACAATCGATCTCACATTCGGTCTCACTATCGATCTCACTATCGATGTCACTATCGATCTCGCTATCGATCTCACGATCGATCTCAATATCGATCTCACGACAGGACACCGACGGGCCACCGACGGGACAATGCGGGCTCGATCTTTCAATCGATCTCATAATTGGTCTCACGACCGATCTCACAATCGATCTAACTATCGATCCCACAATCGATCTCGCAACCGATCTCATTATCGATCCCGCTATTGATCTCGCATTCGATCTCACAGTCGATCTCACTTTCGGTGCCACTATCGATTTCACGATCGATCTCACTATCGATCTCACTATCGATATCACCATCGATCCAACATTCGGTCTCACATTCGGTCTCACTATCGATTTCACTTTCGGTGTCACTATCAATTTCGCGATCGATCTCACTATCGATCTCACTATCGATCTCACGACAGGACAACGGCGGGCGACCGACGGGACAATGCGGGCTACCGCTTGACACGCGCCGTCGGGGGAAACATTTATATTGGCGAACCACTAGCGACAGACAGGACAACGGCGGGCGACCGACGGGACAATGCGGGATACCACTTGACACGCGCCGGCGGGGGAAACATTTATGTTGGCGAACCACTAGCGACAGACAGGACAACGGCGGGCAACCGACGGGACAATGCGGGCCACCGCTTGACACGCGCCGGCGGGGGAAACATGTATGTTGGCGAACCACTAACGACAGACCGGGCAGCTGCGGGCAACCAACGGGATAATGCGGGCCACCGTTTGACACGCGCCGGCGGGGGAAACATTTATGTTGGCGAACCACTAGCGACAGACAGGACGACGGCGGGCAACCGACGGGACAATGCGGGCCACCGCTTGACACGCGCCGTCGGGGGAAACATTTATGTTGGCGAACCACTAGCGACAGACAGGACAACGGCGGGCAACCGACGGGGCAATGCGGGCCACCGCTTGACACGCGCCGGCTGGGGGAACATTTATATTGGCGAACCACTAGCGACAGCATAATGAATTCCTCTCGCCCGCGCACGCAGCTTCGCTTCGCCCGCACGCACGAGGCGAACACGAAACCGATACTGATTTCCCGATGGGGGGCTCTCCGTTCCAGTTCGTTATCACCCCCCAATCTCCGATATATATATATATATATATATATATATATATATATATACATGTATATATATACAGAAAAAATCCGACGAACAAGCAACACGCACCCCCACCCATACGGGAGACGGAGGGAGTTGTGGATGCGTGTTGTCGGATGGGAATCCCCGCCTGAACGGGAGCATTCCCCAGGGATCGACAACACGCACCCAAACCCATAACCAGCCAGCCCTCTTCTTTCCGACCCCATTATGGGTCTGGGTGTGTGTGGTTTTCGTTCGTCACCCTTCGGCGATCGGCGGTCTTTCCGCTACCAGCCGTTCTGGTCCAGAGGCACAGGCCGGTCCGGCGAAAGCCCGCACTCTTGCAATGGCGGTATCTGAGGTCGGACAAGAAAAATTCGGTGCGGCCAAGAGGGGGGTGATGACTAGGGGGGATATCACGGCCTGGGCCATGATATCTCCCCAAATTTCATGGCGCTTTCTCTTATTTCATTACGTCCCCGCCCGCCCCCTGGGCAGCGCACAAGCCGCCGGCGACGATTTGCGCCCAACCCCTCTTGGACGCCCCCCTTTTGGCCGCCCCCGAAAAACCTGCATCAGCATGCATGTTCGGAATTCCGCGCGGATTTCGTGGATCGGAGTCGAGCCGCCCTTCCTGGCGCGCGGACCGCGCTGGCGCCGACCCAAGCGAATACGCGCGGACCTCCGCAAGCTGTTGCTTACCCCGATGGCTCGCGGGGGCGCGAGGAGAATCGCGCCTCGCGCGTCGTGGCCTGGGCCAGAGCGGCTGCTCTCTTCCAGGGCGGTCGCTCGGGGGCGCGGGGGCGCGAAGAGAACCGCGCCTCACGCCTCGTGGGACGTGATGCGCGGAGTGAGATGACCTGGTTCCCCACCCGACAGGCTTGGGGCTGTTAGATTCTGAAGGCAGGCCTCCCGACCCGCCCACTCTGCAGACCTCGGCCGCCAGATCCCCAGGTCCACGGGTGTCCCCCGAGACTCCCGCTTCGCGCCGACCCGCCCACTCCGTGTGGCGCGGCCGCCAGGTCCCCAGGTCCATCGAGCGTCCCCCGAGACTTCCGCCCTGCGCTTTCGGCGAAGACGATGGAGCCTGACAGAGTATGGCACCGCAACAACATAACATGACAGGGCACATCATGATATACACACAGCATCGCATAACAGAGCATACTTACTGAGCCAAGCATGCGACGACCGACTACAACGTACACACCAGATCACACCATCACACGATACACCATAACACACCATGTAATACTACGGCAGGAAATATCATACCATACGATAACACCCTATGCTATTCAATAGCGTAGCATGACATGCCGTACGCTAGCATGGCATACCATACCATACCATATCGCAGCATATAAATGCATGCTATGACAACGGGGTGCACACAGCATGGCATAACGCTACACATCATACGACAGCATATCATAACACACCAAGACGTACCAGTACAAACCAGACAATACCATAACACATCATACCACAGCATGCCATCTCATAGCACAGGATCGCAGCACACATCACCGCACACCATAACAAAACGTATTAGGTCAGAGCGTTCCTTCACATATTTCTGCATAGGGGAACATGGCATAGCATACTACAAGAAGCCATGACAGAACGGGGCATAGACAACCTCGTATAATATCGCATCTCAGGACATCACATTACGGAACAAGTCATAACACAATGTGACAGAGCACATCAGCCCATGGCATATCATGACATGGCAGAACATTACAAACACGCCATCGCAGCACACTTCACGACATAACATGACGATTGATACCATGACAGATCGTTGCATCATACATTATACACTGGCAGCACAGAAAACACAGTGCACCCCAGTATAATCTAACATAACGTTACATAACATGACA